CTCTCCTCATCTGCTCCTGGCCTCTCTTCCGCTCAGACAGTGCGGCCTTTCCACTCGGAACTGCACTGCCTAGCGGTCCCACCCGGCTGGGAAGACCCGAGGGATTAGACGGGGGTTCTGCTGGGGCTCGGACTGTTTCTCCTTTTTTTCTGAAGAGAGCCTCTACCAGCTCCGTTTTGAGCTTGGAGTGGGAGTGAGGAAGCAAAACGGTCGGGGGTACCCAAGATGCCTGAGGTGTAACTTTCCAACTGCCTCCCTGCAAGCCTGATGGGCTGGGATGACGGGGGCTGGAGACTACCCTAAATCCGATCAAAGGAATTCCACCTGCAGGGAAAGGGGGGCGAGGCCTGGAGCGCGCTTCAGCACCACGGACAACGACTCGCCTTCGGGCTTCAGCTTAGGCGTCCCCCAGCGCTCAGCGACGCCCACCCGCCCGCCAGCCGGCCAGGGAGTCTTTGTTAACACCAGCGTCACAATCTGATTTGTCTCCCGATATAAAATAAGCTGCTCTTAGAAAGGAGAGCTCCTGGTAGTCCTATTTCTACTTTCCAAGTCGTGTGTGGAGCTATCTTACAGCTAGGCTGCTACAGACCCGGCCCACAATTATTGATGCTTGTCAATACTTGGCCTTTCCATTTTCCTTGGGAGGTAGGCAGGCAGGCGGGAAGTAACATTCCTTTTTACAGATGAGAAAAGTGAGGCCAAGAGAGCAAAAGTCACAGAATTGGTGCAGTTCCATTCCTGACTGACCTGAGACAAGGCATCTCCAAATACAAATACCTCCCCGACCTAATCTCTTTCAAATAGCGAAGTGAGGAAGGGATGGTTTCACTGAGAGGGAGAATCCATTAAAACTGGAAGCAAATACTGACTAATGTGATGCTAATGAAGGGCTCTAGGCCCTTCTTACCCTCAAGAATCCTAAGCTGGCGGTGGGAACAGAATTCACAGAAGAGCTGGACATCGAGACCTTTGGATTCCATCCAGCTCTGAGGCACATATAGTACGCTCTCTCATCTGGGGCCTGCCTGAGTGACTCCCTTGATCCTGACTAGGGCCTCCCTGGGGACAGTGATGGGGGTGGGAAGAGACACATGCTCAAGGCATCTCATCCTAGTCCCCTCACCATTCCCAGGTCTCAGTCTCACTCCCTTCAGGGAGGACAAGAATCATGGCCTCCCTCTACCTCCCCAGCTTTGTTTTGGCCTCAGGGAAGACAGGCTCCCTCCTCCCACTCTGCTGGCTTTCTAGAGCAGGCTGTACAATGAGACACACAAACACACACATGGAAATGTACGCAGAGTGACACAGTCACCTACACAAACACATGGATCTGCCTACCAAACCCAGGAACATGCATATGCACAGATGTACTGGTCTCACATACTTCCCCATGTGGGAAAGAGAGGATGCCCGGGCAGCCAAGTGGTTTGGGGATACATAGGGGATGCCGCAAGGCACTTCCCAGGCCTAGGGCTTCTAGCTCTGGCTCTGGAAGTGAAGCATGAGGATGTGTTTTCCTGGGGTTTGAGGGAAGTTCTGGAAGGGTTGTCAGAGGATGAAGGATTCAGTTGTAAGAATAATCTGAGCACATGATTTGGTGGAGAGAGAGAGCTGACCCAGCGCTAACTGAAACCTCCCTGCAGGAGCCAGGTACTGGAGCCATAAGGTCTCCTGGAAACCAGCCTGGGCAGCTGAGTACTAGAGTCCCTCCTTGGATCTACCTGGGCTATTTGTGGAAACCTTGGGGAAGCAGTGGGGTGTGCTAAAGACCCCTATCTGCACCAGAAAGCCAGAGAGGCAGCAAGGATGAGACACATCATGGAAACTCACAAAGCCCCACTGCAGACATCACCACATGAAAGTACACAGCTAGCACTCAACACTCATCTGACAATCATAAAACACAACACAACCTACTTTGACAAATGCTTGTCCAGAGGGCTCATGGTCATGAAGTCTTACAAAGAGACAAGTGGAGCCCGTACAGAATTACACACTCGAAACACATCGTTGCACATACAATAAAGACACATGGTCAAAACAACTTCATCAGTACAATCAGGGTCCTACGCAACCTCCAACATCTGACGAGACCAACTGCACTGCCAGACGCAATCGCACTTACCCTAGCTGTCACCAAGCCCAGGGCACATGGCAACCAGCTGTGGGAGACACACACACACACACACACACACACACACGAATGACAGGTGTTCACGCACGTAACACCTCCCACTCCAGACACCCTCCCAGCCCTGTGTCACACACGCCCACACCTGCTGCCTCGCCACACCTGCCTCTTCTGCTCCTCCCCCACCCCACCCCCGGGGCCCAAGGTTTGAACCCCAGTATCCTGCCCCCCAGACCTGCCAGGAGAGTACCTGGGAATGGGGCAGAGTGTGGGTGCGGGCCAGGCCAGGGTCAGAGAGGCAGAAGGGTCTGGGGAATGGAATCCACCCTCCCTCCCGCGACCCCCACGTCACCGACTCACCCGTGAGCTGGTCGTAAGAGCCGTCCAGGTCTCGGGAATCGGACAAACTCTCCTTGCGGCCCTGGCCCCGCATGGCCCCCGGCGCCCCGCTCCCGCCTGGGCCGTGGGAGGGGGCGCCGGGTGGCCAGGATAGGACGCTCACACGGCGCCCCCTGGCGGCCTAGTGCGCTGTCGGGGCTGGAAGAGTCTGGGCTGAGGCTGAGCCTGAGATCCGGCTCGGGATCTGGGGCCCACCCGAGGGTCCTGGAGCAGAAGAGGGAACACTAGGCAGCAGGTGAGCGCAGAGCCGGAGGCAGAGCAGAGCTGAGCGCGGAGCCAAGCCGAGCCGCCTCTCTCCTCCCGCCCCCTCCCCGCGGCTGTCACCGCCGCCTCCCCCCTTTGGCGCTGCCGGGATTGGCTCCCCCTACCCCCCGCCCCCCACACTTTGCAGCTCGGGGGAGGCACCCGGTGAAAGGGTGAACTGCAAAGTACGGGGAAGGAGACTAGCTCTCCAACAATCTGCCCTAAACCAGAAGTCACGGGTCTTGGGGGTGGAGAAGAGCTCGGGACAGTAGAGCCCCGCTGAAAGGAAACCCCGCCCCCCATTCTCAGACACCCTCCCCCTTCCCCCTTTCCCCTTCCCCTTTCCCCTTTCCCCTTCCCCCTTCATCAGCACAGTTCTGGCTGAGGCAGAGCCTGGGGTATCGTCTCTGAGTGCCAGCTCCGTTTGCCTCCACAAAAGCCTCTATTTTCTCTGTTGTTCCTCTTCCCGTGTATGCATCTCTTGTGGTCCCAGACAGTCCCTACCGTGCCTAAAGCAGGTTAGGGATGCAGAGGAAGAGTCAACCCAGCCTCTAACAGCAGGTTCATCGTGGGCCAGTAGACTGTAATTTCGTCTTCTCTCAAGTTCCAGAAGGACCCCAATTCTCGCCCAGAGGGCTTGTGGTCATGCACCCCGTCTCTGGAACCCATTCACTCTCAGGGTGCTTCCTGCACTGATCTAGTGACCCTCCCCCACATAGGGTGACTGGGAAGATAAGAAAACTAGTGAACCAGGTCAGTTTCTCAAGACACCCTTGCTCTTTTGTTTCTCCCCTGCACCCACGTTTCTGCCCTTCTCTCTTTTGTCACCTGTCCTGTCCTAGATTCCTTGTTTTCCGGCATATTTGGGGAGCGACTGATGGGTTTGGGGATCCAAGTCAGGATACAGAGTAGGAAAGAAATGCCCTTGTTATGAAACCCCTTCCTTAAGATTAGCTCCTTTTCCACAGGCAGTGAGCTGGGCTCCCTCATGTCCCAGGAATGGCTTCTGAATGTCTGAGCCCCACAGGTCTGACCTTTCTCAGGATGCTTCCTGGGCTCCTCACCCAAAAGTCCTCCAACCCCTTGCTATGAGGATGAGGGGACCTTGTCTGGTGGGTCTGAAAGAGTGACCTGCTGGCCGGGCGCGGTGGCTCAAGCCTGTAATCCCAGCACTTTGGGAGGCTGAGGCGGGTGGATCACAAGGTCAAGAGATCGAGACCATCCTGGTCAACATGGTGAAACCCCGTCTCTACTAAAACTACAAAAAATTAGCTGGG